TTCGTGAACCAGGCAAGAGGACTCACAGGTAGAGAATGCCCCCTTTACTGTGTACCAGAGCCGCTTATATATGGATCCTTAACTGAGCCACGCCCCAGCCAAACCCACCAGAAACCACTCTCCCGCCATGAGGAACTCCTGAGGGTCTCGTGCTCAGAGCAGTTGCAGGCTGTCTCACAGCAGAGGAAAACAAGTTGTTTACAAGAAAATTCAGGATCTGGGGGTTCACAGCTCCCGACAGGTCTGGGTGCTGTTTGCCCTTCTCAACGTCATCTCACACTGAGAATAAAACCACCACACTTGGTGCATCTCATTTCAGTAGAAAACCAGACATGGCCAGAGGACATCAGACCCCCCTAAAGCTGGAGTTAGGGGTGTTTTGGAGCCATCTGACATAGATACTGGGATCCAAACTCAGGTCCTGTGGAAATGCAATATGTGCTCTTAGCCATTGAGCCATATCTCTAAGTCCCCAGTTCACTATTTTTAAAAGTAGGTCTGGATATCAATATCATGCCTAAGAACCTAGCCCTAGGTTCTGAAGGGGTTTGCCTTCACTTTTATTATTTCTTCTTCTTCTTCCTCCTCCTCTTCTTCCTCCTCCTCCTTCCCTTCTCTCCCCTTTCCTCCTCCTCCTTGAAAAGGCAAGTGGCACCACCTCTGACTTACCTTCATTCTCCTATAAATGAAGCTTTCAGTCTTCCTTTTGAGGTAAGACTCAAGGTTGACATAGCAATTCCCTTTCGCTGCCCACTCTTTCTCCACTGAGCTGGTTTTGCACCTTTTGTAGTCAACTGGTCCTGCCTGTGGAAGACGGGCCTTAAGAGCTCTGCTGTTTCCTTGATCTCATACCTAGTTCTTCTCTAATGCTACACAGTCTTTTATCAAACATAAAATATATTTATTTGGTGTGAGTGTTTGTCAGTATGCATGTACCCTGGGCATGTATGGCGGTCAGAGGACCAGTGTGGCAATTAGTTTTTTCCTTCTGCCAGATGGAACCTAGAGATTGAATTTAGGTCATCAGACTTGCTGGCAGGCACCTTTCCTGCTGACAGCCTCTTACCAAACTCATAGCTATTCAAGTTTGTCTTTCCATTAAATGTAGAATAAAGTTTGTATCTACAACAAAATTTGCTGGGTTTTAATAAATTCATCAGATCTATTACTTCAGGAAGACTGTATGGATACTATTGGGTTTTTCTACAGTAACTGTCTAGATCTCCAGTTTCTAAGAGTAACTTCCAACATCCTGTTCCTAATGCATATTTTTAGATTTATACTTAAGTGCATTTTTGAAAAGTTATACATGTTATGGAATTTAAATTCAGCGTCTACAAGTTTGTTGTTGGAATATAGAAATATACTAGTATTTCCATGTTCTTGGATTCTGCAACCTGGTTGGGTTTCCTGGTTTTTTCTTTAACAGATTCCATGGAATTGTTTGCATAGACCAGGTGTTGTTTCCACCCTGCATCTTAATGTGTAGTATAACTATTTTCCCTAAGCTTGACATGACCATTCCTGTACAGATGCAGAGCAGCTGTCACCACCATGTGAGAGTCTCCCAAAATTGGACACTCCCTCATGGAGAGAGGGCTGGTCTCACAGGTCTGTTGCTGATGCCCCTCTAATTGGAGTGAACAAACCTTTACTTTCTTTTTTTTTTGTTAATTAGCCTTTTTATTGGTTTTTTGTTTTTTTTTTTAAATTGAAGGTCCCTTACTGGTCCTGCTTTCATGAGTGGCTGAGAACAAGGGGAAGGGGAGGGCAACCAGCTGGCAAGGGAGGGTCATTTCCACATTTCATTTACACACAGAACTAAACAGACAAGCACAGAGTCACTATTGTGGTTAGAAGTTGGCAGCATGGGATGGGGGGATAAGGAGTAGGGTGTCGTTAAAAAAAAAAATAGGTCAGGCTCCCCCCAAACTGGGTGCCTGGGAAGGGACTTGGTCTGCTTCAACCCAAGAGGAATCAGAAGATCAAAAGCAGTTTGGGAAGGCCAGAACCGTCAGGGTGGAGGGAGAAGGACGGTCCAGGGGGTGGGGGGACATTTGGAAACTGGGGTGAAGGGATTACCCTCCCCCTGCTGGGATCCCCCCAGCCCCTCAGGTCTGGCAGGAAAGGGGCAGCCTGCAACACCCATGAGCAGGTCTGGGGCTGCTAGATGCTCCAGGCAGGGGGCTGGAGGCGGCTCACAAAGGCTTGCCCTCCAGGGAGATGACGGCACTGCCACCTAGTTTCTCTGCCAGGGTGCAGCGGTCCTTGACCTCCTCGTAGCAGTTTGCTTGTAATTCATGCTTGATTCCTGTCAGCTTCTTCTTGATGGCATCCTTGGAGCTGGCGTAGATCATTTTGCTCTTAAGGGGTGCACTCTCAGGGGCCCAGAAGATGAACACCAGGTCCTCCTTCTTGCTCTCCTTGGTCTCATAGGTGGCATCATAGAGAGCGTAGCGGCAGTCCTTGTCTGGCAGCATCTTGACAAAGGTGGTGTAGGGATCGTCCACAGTCTGCCCCACATCTCCTACCAGGATCTCCTTGCCCTCCTCCAGGATGATGTTCTTCTTGTCCTCACTCAGGCAGAAAAGCACCGCCTTCTTGCGTTTCTTCACTTCTTCTGGCGTCGAAGACTTGCGCACTTTCATGTCATTGAACACCTTGATGACACCATCAGAGACAGCCACACCAGAGGCCATGTTTCCGGAAACGAAAGGGAGATGGAGAGAGCTACAGAAGAATTAAGCCGCCGCAGCTGCTACCGGGATCCGACTGACTCTTTGTTTTGTTTTTGAGGGAAAAGTTAACTCTGTAGTCAAGCGTACCTGGAACTCTGTAACCCAGGCTGTCTTGAAATTCCTAACAACCTCCCTGCAACCTTAAGTGCTGAGATGACAGATGTAAGACACATCTGTCCCTAGAGGGGTAGGGTCTATGGAACTCGTTATGGAGATCAGAGGGCCTCATACTCATAGATATCCATCTGCCTCTGCACCTAAATGCTGGAATTAAAGGCATGTGCCATCACACAACAGCCTAGAGGATTTTATACATAGGCACCCTAGGGCTTGGCTTTGTGTCCATCTTGGTAATCACTGCTTTAGTGGTTTTGGATTTAGTCACATATGTGTTTTGCCTGCATGTGAAGTACATACACCATGTGCATACCTGGTGCCTGTGGGATTCTAAAGAGAGCACTGGATTTCCAAAACTCAAGTTATGGATGACATGAACTATCATGTAGGTACTAGGAACCAAACCCAGGTCCTCTGCAAGAGCAACAAGTGCTTTAAGCTGCTGAGCCATCTCTCCAGTCTGATTTTCCACATTTAAGCCATTTCTGTTTTGTGTTGGAAAATAAACCTTCCATCTGTTTATTCCACATTTCTCTCCTGTGCCCATCTTTCTACTGTTTCCTCTTATGCCTCTTTACACTACAATCCCACGTTCTTTCTGTCATTTTCTTGTCAGTGGTTGCTTTAAGGCTTTTGTTGAACATTTTTAACCTATCCAGGTCTTTCTTGGGTTGTGTAGATCCAAGTATACAATATGGATTGCCTTAACTTCTCCTGTAGTACAAGTCTACTAGCAATAGATGATTATTTAACATTTTTCTTCCAGTGCTAGAGATCAAACCTGGGCCCTTATACATCTATCACTGAACTCTATTCCACCCCTATTTACATTTACTTTTTTTGTTGTTTTGTTTTTTCAAGACAGAGTTTCTCTGTGTAGCAGCTCTGGCTGTCCTGGAACTAGCTCTGTAGACCAGGATGGCCTTGAACTCACAGAGATCTGCCTGCTTTTGTCTCCCAAGTGCTGGAATCAAAGGTGTGCGCCACCACTGCCTGGCTTACATTTTTAAAAAATATATATATTAGAAAAAGTCATCATTGTGTTAAGTGTGATAGCACATGCCTCTAATGCCAGTATCCAGAGTGTGAGGCAGGGGGATCACACTAAGTTTGAGGCCAGTCTAGGTACAGTGTCAATCTTGTTTTAAAAAATGAAACAAGAAATAGGAAAGGAAGGATTACTTTATCTTTGTTTCTCAAGAGATAGCTTTGCTAGGCATAGAACTAGAGGTGATGCTATAATTTTGTGGGCAAGCCTGTGGTGCACTTCCTTGATTGACAATTGATGTGGGTGATCCCAGTTCCCTTAAGTTACTCTGATCTCCCTCATTGATGGTTATCTAGAAGCATGAAATTAAATCCTTTCCTCCATAAGCTGATTTTGGCCATGCTGTTTTACCACAGCAATAGAAACCCTAACTAAGATACTGGGTATAGAATACAGTGATGCAATCTTTGCTGGGTATAAAAGAGTAGTAGCTCAGCAGGTAAGAGGCCCAAGCTCTAATCCTCAGCTTGACTAAAAAAAAAAAAAAAAAAAAAAAAAACTGGAGTGTATGTGGCATGGTACTGCACATAAAGCACCCAAAGTAGGTGGACTCCAAGGCCTAGACTGGACGCAGTAAAGAGCGTGATAGCACTGCAGAAGCATGACTACGAAGGGGCATGATTGGGTCCACAGGGTTAACTGGTGCATGCATGCAGGAGCTGGCACCAAGTAGCTAGCGCCTGGACAGTGGGGGGGTGGGGGAGGAGGAGCCTGAGCCAGACATTGGGCCAATGAGCGTGTCTTAAGAGGGAGGGCTCGAAACTGGGCGTGGCCACACGGGGCTTGACCTGGCCAGGGTCTGAGCACAAAGGTGTAGGGCACCCAGGACCTGGGGGGGCGGGGCAAGCGGGCGGGCAGTTGGCAGGGGGGGCGGCGGGTAACGGAGGGCGTGGCCAAAAGGGGGTGGGGTTACCGTTGTGGGCGGGACTGCGCAGGCGCACTGCTCTGGTGGTGTTAAGCGGTTTCCCTCCCCCAACGGCGCGCCCGCGGTGGCCGGCGCGTCGTCTGCGGAGGCCGCGACCCCGCCTCGCCGCCCGCCCGCGTCTGCGTCGCCGTCCCCGCGCCCGCGCCCCGCCGTTGGGCCGCGCCGCGCCGGCATGTCGGGCCCGGGGCCGCGGGAGCCGCCGCCTGAGGCGGGCGCGACGGGCGGCGAGGCGGGCCCCGAGGGCGCGGGCGGCGGGGACGCGGCGCTGGGCGAGCCGGGACTGAGCTTCACGACCACCGACCTGAGTCTGGTGGAGATGACGGAAGTGGAGTACACGCAGCTGCAGCACATCCTCTACTCGCACATGGAGGCGGCGGACGGCGAGCTCGAGGCACGCCTGGGCTCCGCGCTGCTAGCCGGCCCGGGCGCGGGCTCGGGCGCGGCGGGCTCGCTGGCGCCGGCGCCGCCCGTGTACCCAGTGCTCTGCCCGCCGCTGGCGGCCGACGCGCCGTGCCTGGGCCACGTCGACTTCCAGGAGCTGCGCATGATGCTGCTGGGCGAGGCGGGCGCCGCTGAGAAGACGCCCGGCGGCGCGGACGGGACGCGGACGCGGACGGACGGCGCGGTCAAGGAGGGCGCGGGCGGCGCGGGGCCCGACGGCGCGCCCGAGGCCCGGGCCAAGCCGACCGTCCGCGTCCGCCTGGAGGACCGCTTCAACAGCATGCCAGCCGAGCCGCCTGCGCCTCGCGGTGCCGAGCCCGGCGAATCGGGCGTGGCGCTCAACAAGTGCGTGCGGGGCGCGGGGGCCTCAGGGAGGAGGGGCCGGCTCACAGAGCCGTCTGAGGGGTCGTTCTGGGCGCCTGCAGGGTCTGGGTGGTACCTGGAAGGGGCTCCTGCAGGACCACCTCTTTGGTCTGGGAGGATACCTGGACGGGATCCACAGGGCTACTTGCCGTGGCTGCGTGGACACCAACTTTCCCCAAAGATCTCTAGGAAGTTCAGTGCAAAGGGGCAGGCACTCTAGGTGCTAGAGAGGTCTTATGCCCGCCTGCGCTCACTTCACCTGAGGGTGATTCTGAAAGCTGCACACCGAACAAGCGCTGAGTGACAATTCTAAGGAATACCTTGGGACTGCACTCCAAAAAGGAGAGGAAGAGTTTGGGGACGGTTCCCTTTGCTCTCTTGTCTCCTTCCTGAGTACCATGGAAAACTAGCTGCTCTGGCCTCCAGTGCAGATTTGGACCTGTGGAAGGGAAAGGCAGGAGTTGTAAGATTAAGCTGAAACCTGTGGCAGTTCCTGGCCCACTTAGTGCCCTTCCAGGTAGTTGTTGAAGACACGGACTCAGCAGTTTTCCACTCACTCAGGCTCTGGCTGTCCTGGTCTTGCCTATCCTTGCCAGATTTTGGAGGATGACAGAGATTGGTGTCAGGGAGTGCTGCAGGCGGGGAGGAGGCAAGTGAACTCCTCCACCACCGCTGGCCAGTGGATCATACTGGCCATGTCCAGGACCGCCTGAGAAGCAGGGCGGAGTCTAGCGTGACCTGATAGTGGTGGAGTGGGTGATGGCAGTGTTTTGGGAGCCTCTCCACCACCTATTCCTCAGGTTTCTGGGTTTTTCTTTTGTCTTGGCAGTTTGGTAACTCTTATTCGGCATCCATCTGAATTAATGAATGTTCCTCTTCACCAGCAACAAAACAAATGTACGACCTTAGTGAAAAATAAAACTGCTGCTGCCACTACTGCTTTGCAGTTCACCTACCCGCTGTTTACAAGTGCCTGCTCCACTGGTGGGAATCCCAGCCTTGCACAGACACAGGTAAAGCCTTTCGTTTGTGCTAAGTGCAGAGTTCGTAGTTTAGTGCCATCTTGTCCCAGGATTCTTATTTTTAAATAGAACTGGTTGCCTTTTTAAGGTTGAAATATTTGTATTGTTGAGCGTTATTAAATAGCCTAGTTGAAATGGCTGGAGAGATGATTCAGTGGTTAAGAGTGTATTGGATCCAAGATTGGTTCTGCCTGTTACATCCAGCTTTAGGAGGGGATCCCTCTGGCATCCAGAACACCTACAGTCATGTGCACAACCCACACATACACAGTGAAAATCTTTTTAAAAAAGGAAGTTTTTCAGAAGTCTGAGCATAATTCTATTGAGTACAGTTTACTTGTTCTGTAAAGAGCTGACACAGCTACATGTATTGATAAAATTCCTGTTACTTAATATTTTCCAGAGTTCTAGTAATTCATGTTCTATACTGGAAGCTGCCAAGCACCAGGATATTGGATTGCCTAGAGCATTTTCTTTCTGTTACCAGCAAGAGATTGAGTCCACCAAACAGACAGGTGGTAGTAGAAACAAAGCCTTGCCCGAGCAGGTTTGGATTAAGGTGGGAGGTAGGTGATAAATCAGGTGGTGGCTGTGTGTGTACGCTTGACAGTCTGTAGCTGCAGAGTGTTTAGGCTTTGGTGGCCCGGACAGGAGAGGCCCTTTCTGTACACGTGTAAGAGGTCTTGGGTTCACTCCACACTTCCCATCCTCAGTAGTCTCCTCTTTGAACTTCCTTCTGAGTTTTGAACATCATGGTTTATTCAAATTTGGACACTTTAAATTTGGAAGCTTTTTCTTAACCGTAAAATAACGACAGACACACAAGGTGCCGTAACCCTGTAAGTACTTTGTAGTTTATTTTACTTCATACTTTGTGGTTGATGATGGAGCCTGAAATCAGCTGAAAGCTCCAGAGAGATAGAAATAACACTGTGTCGTGGGGGTGGCAGGACTCAGCAGAGGCCACTGAGTGATCAGAGGTCTGGGGTAAAGAAGCTGCCATCAGCAGATTGCTTCCTTGATGTTCAGTTCAGCCTCTCCCTCCTTGGAAAAGGTTATCATTTTTTTTTAATTAATTTTATCTAGGTTTTTTTTTCCAATTTATTTATTCTTATTTTATATACATTGGTGTTTTGCCTTGGGTGTTGGGTGCCCTGGAACTGGAGTTACAGATTGTTGTTAGCTGCCATGTGGTTGCTGGGAATTGAACCCAGGTCCTCTGGAAGAGTAGTCTTAACCACTGGGCCATCTCTCCAGCTCTAATTTTATTTAGTTTTTACACACCATTCCCAGTCCTCAACCCTCTTCTCCTCCAACTCCCCCCACCCTCATCCATTCCTCAGAGAGGGTAGGACCTCTCCTGGGATGTCAACTAAGTCTGTCCCATCACCTCATTAAGGCAGGACCAATGCTCCCACACCCTGAAACTGAGCAAGGTATCTCTCCATAGAGAATGGGTTCCACAACATCAGTTTATGCATTAAAATTAGGTCCTGGTCCCACTGCCAGTGGCCCCATTACTGCCCTACCACTGTCACCTGCCTTCAGGGGCCTCATTCTGTCCTGTGCAGGTTCCCCAGTTGTCAGTCTGGAGCCAGTGATCTCCCCCTAGCTTGGGTCAGCTGACTCTGTGGTTTCCCCACCATGGTCTTGACCCCTTTGCTCATATTATCGCTCTTCCTTCTCTTTGTACTCCGGGAGCTCAGCCCAGTGCTTAGCTGTGGATCTCTGCATCTGCTTCCATCTGTTTCTGGAAGAGGGAGCTAGCTTCACTGGGGATTGTGGACTGCAGGCTGGTTATCCTTTGCTTTATGTCTGGTATCCACTCATGAATGAGTACATATTTGTCTTCCTGGATCTGGGTTACCTCACTCAGGATGACTTTTTTTTTCTAGTTCCGTCCATTTGCCTGCAAATTTCAAGATGTCATTGTTTTTTATTGTTGAGTAGTACTCCATTGTGTAAATGGACCACATTTTTTTCATCCATTCTTTGCTTGAGGGCCATCTAGTTTGTTTCCAGGTTTTGGCTATTATGAATAATGCTGCTATGAACATTGTTGAGCACATGTTCATGTGGTGTGAGTGCGCCTCCTTTGGGTATATGCCCAAAAGTGATATTGCTGGGTCTTGAGGTAGATTGATTCTTAATTTTTTGAGAAATTGCCATATTGATTTTCACAGCAGCTGTACAAGTTTGCATTCCCACCAGGAATGGAGGAGTGTACCCCTTACTCTATATCCACTCCAGTATGAGCTGTCATTAGTGTTTGTGATTTTGTCTGTTTGTGATTCTTCTGTTGAGACTTCTGTTTAGATCTCTACCCCATTTTTTAATTAGATTATTTGGAAGTTTGGTGTCTGGTTTCTTGAGTTCTTTATATATTTTGGAGATCAGTCCTCTGTCCGATGTGGGATTAGTGATGGTCTTTTTCCATTCTGTAGGCTGCCATTTTGTCTTATGACTTTATCTTTTGCCTTACAGAAGCATCTCAGTTTCAGGAGGTCCTGCTTATTAACTGTTGCTCTCAGTGTCTGTGCTATTGGTGTTATAATCAGGAAGTGGTCTTCTGCGCCAGTGTGTTCAAGGGTACTTCCCACTCTTGTCTGTGAGGTTTAGTGTGGATGGATTTATGTTGATGTCTTTGATCCATTTGTACTTGAGTTTTGTGCATGGTGATAAATATGGATCTATTCGCATTCTTCTACATGTTGACATCCAGTTATATCAGTACCATTTGTTGAAGATGCTTTTTTTTTTCCATTTTGTATTTTTAGCTTCTTCGTCAAAAAATCAGGTGTTCATAGGTGTGTGGGTTAATGTCAGGGTCTTCAGTTCGATTCCATTGGTCATAGGTGTTCATAGGTGTGTGGGTTAATGTCAGGGTCTTCAGTTCGATTCCATTGGTCAACCTGTCTGTTTTTATGCCAATACGAGCTGTTTTCATTACTGTACTTTATAATATGCTTGAAGTCAGGGATGGTGATGCCTTCAGGGTTCCTTAATTGCACAGGGTGTTTTAGCTATCGTGAGTTTTTTGTTTCTTCACATGAACTTGAGTATTGTTCTTTAGAGGTCTGTGAAGAATTGTACTGGGATTTTGATGGGTGTTACATTGACTCTGTAGATTGCTTTTGGTAAGGTTGCCATTTTTTTTTTTTCAAGTCAGGGTTTCTCTGTAACTTTGGAGCCTGTCCTAGAACTAACTCTGGTAGACCAGGCTGGCCTCAAACTCACAGAGATCCGCCTGCCTCTGCCTCCCTATTTTTAATTTTTTTAATGCTGGGATTAAAGGCATGTGCCACCACCGCTTAGTGCCCAGGGTTTCTGTCGTCATAGCTCCTTGTTTCTCTAATTCCTACTTGATGGTGTTAGAAGCTTGGATTGAAATGCAAAGCATGCGTATGCATGGGTGAGTGCACAGGCACACAGTCAAGAGAGAAAAGAGGCGGATCTCTGTGAGTTCGAGACCAGCCTGGTCTACAAGAGCTGGTGCCAGGACAGGCTCCAAAGCCACAGAGAAACCCTGTCTCGAAAAAAAAAAAAAAATGACCCATAGTGATGCTCACCTTAGTCCCAGCACTAGGAGGGTCAGAAATTCACAGACATCCTCAGCTGCAATGTGAGTTAAGACACCCAACAAAAATATTCCACATTAATGGGAATGAGTTAAGAATAAAAACTAGACGGGCGGTGATGGCTCACACCTTAATCCCAGCATTTGGGAGGCAGAGGCAGGTGGATCTCTGTGAGTTCAAGTCTAGCCAGGTCTACAGAGTGAGCTCCAGGACAGGCTCCAAAGCTACAGAGAAACCCTGTTTTGAAAAACAAGAATAAAAATACTAAATGACGGCTTTTTTTCTTCTTTTGCAAAGAAGAAGCGCTATGTAAACAAGCAATCAATAAGAGGAATCGGAGTAGAATCCGCCAGTTGGACACAAGTGTGGAGCGAAGAGCCCTCGGAGAGATTCAGAATGTGGGTGACGGCTCTACAGCTTCCCAGGGCACCTGGCAGTCTTCTGAGTCCTCACAGTCAAACCTGGGGGAGCAGACGCAAAGCGGACCCCAGGGAGGAAGGTCTCAGCGTCGGGAGAGGCATAACCGAATGGAAAGAGATAGAAGGTAATAGAGTGATGGACCATGGGCTCCACCCATACCCATGCAGTTGTCGTAGGTGTGCTGGCTCTTTGTGTGATAGTTCACCCTTTATCTGGAGACTTAGGAGTCCTCAAGACTCAGTGATCTCTGGTGGACTCATGCTCTGACTGACTACAGTGGCAGGGTACAAGGCAAAATGACCCAAGGTATGTGGGAAGACCTAGGGAGCACAATCCCCAGTGTCTTCTCCCAGAAGGGTACACAGGACCTCCTAATTGATGACTTCAGTATTGTGTTCCCAGGGCACCAACAAGGTGCCACCAAACAGGAGGGCTCATCAGAGGCTCAGAGACTGTGTTGGTGCCCATCACATGACTGTTTATCAGGCACACTCTAAATACCAGGCTCCTATTGTGAGCTGTGTTGCTTGCAGAGTTGAGGTTCTGTGGGCTGTTATTCACTAATCTCCCCAAGCCCGTTTCCAGACACTAGAAGATCACTTGTCAGCAGGTCCTTAAGGAGAGTATTGGGTTTTAGGTTAACTGCACAGTAGGTAACATCATAGGCTTCTGTTTTATTTGGGGAAGCCAGGCATAGTGGCATACATTTGTGATTGGGGTATTCAGGAGGCTGAGGTAGGAGGATTGCTTCCAGTTGAGGACAGTATGGGATATACAGTGAATTACAGATTAGTCTTGAATAGTCTTGAGAGAGAGAGAAAAAAAAGAACAGGGAGGAAAAAGAAAAAAGCAGTGTTGGGAAAGAGGAGGTTAAACTGTTACTGAAATGAGTTTGCCTGTGGATTTTATATGTGCTCCTCTAGGTAGTATAAAAGGGTAATTTTTCTGTATTGAAATTGGCTTTTTATTACATTATTTAATAGTAATAATCAATTTGGTCATTTATGAGTATTACATGTATGTTTTCTGCTCAGGAATAATAGTATTTAATGAAATAGTATTGTGTATTGAAGTTCTATTATTTAATAAGCCAAGGTGATTTATTGCTTTTTAGAGGGATGTGTTAAAACTAAGTAGATATCTACCTTCCTTCCTTTTTTTTTTTTTTTTTTTTTTAAAGGCCAGGCTGACCTCAAACTCGTGGAGATCTGCCTACCTCTGCTTCCCAAGTGCTGGGATTTCTTCTTCATTTTATCAAAAAAAAATTATGTCTTTTCATTACTTGTGTGCTTGTGGATGCCAGAAGAAGGCATTGGGTTCTAAGCCTAGAGTTACAGATGGTTGTGAGCCACCATGCGGATGCTGGAAGTTGAATCTCTGTCCTTGGAAGAGCAGCCACTGAGCCTTCTCTCCAGCTGTGTTGTTCTTTGTTGATGAGTTGCTTAAGTGCGTGCTTGGTGACTGCTGTGTCAGAAGATCCCTGGAGTTGGAATTACAGGTGGTTGTGAGCCACCATGTGGGTGCTGGTTATTGAATTTGGGTCTTCTGCAAGAGCAAAACATGCTTTTGGGGGGTGCTGGAGAGATGGCTCAGAGGTTAAGAGCATTGCCTGCTCTTCCCAAGGTCCTGAGTTCAATTCCCAGCAACCATATGGTGGCTCACAACCATCTGTAATGAGGTCTGGTGCCCTCTTCTGGCCTGTAGGCAGACATTCAGGCAGAATGTTGTATACATAATAAATAAATAATTTTAAAAAAGAAAACATCATTAAAAAAAACATGCTTTTTACTACTGAGACATCTCTCCAGCCCCATTGCATTCAGCATTCATTCTCTCTCTCTCTCTCTCTCTCTCTCTCTCTCTCTCTCTCTCTCTCGTTTGGTTTTGGTTTTTTCAAGACAGGGTTTTTCTGTAGCTTTGGAGCCTGTCCTGGAACTTGCTGTATAGGTCAGGCTGGCCTTGAACTCACAGACATCTGCCTGTTTCTCCTGAATGCTGGGATTAAAGGCATTCTCTTTTTTTGAGGCAGGGTTTCCCAGACATTTTCTTTTTTTTTTTTTTTTTTTTTTTTTTTTTAAAATATTTATTTATTTATTATGTATACAATATTCTGTATGTGTCTGCCTGTAGGCCAGAAGAGGGCATCAGATCTCATTTCAGATGGTTGTGAGCCACCATGTGGTTGCTGGGAATTGAACTCAGGACCTTTGGAAGAGCAGGCAATGCTCTTAACCCCTGAGCCATCCCTCCAGCCCCCCCCAGACATTTTCTTATACTTGTACGCAGGTCATGGTGTACCTGAGGGACTTGTTTAGTCTACTGTGAATTGTAAATGGAGTACTGCTCACCTGATGTGTGTTTAATGAGACGTATGGGATTGCTGCTCTCCGGAATTCTCGATACCTCCTAGTTTAATGGCTTCCAATGAATTCTGTGCTTCTTGAGTTTCTCACTTATAGGATATGGTTGCTCCTTACAGCACAGACTTGAGTCAGAACTACTTGAGCTGATAGGGAAGGAGTTTAGACTCTCAACTAGAAATAAGAGCACATGCAGAAAGCGCTAGCTGCCCCTTGACTTTAGGTGTGGGTGTGAAGCTGTGTGGAGTGTGCCGTGCCGTGATACTGTTTGTGTCGGCACAGTGAGGGCTTTGCTTATGCTGGATATAATGTGTAAAGCTTAAAACAGGTGTGCTTAATTCTCTCAAGATTTTTTTTCAGTGCTGGTGATGGAATAATAGGCAAGCACTCTACCTCTGAGCGTCATCCCCAGCCCTAGCCCTAAATTCCCTAAAAATGGACAAGTTTGTTTTTATGAGACAGGGTCTCATTACACAGCCCAGACTGACCTCGAATTTGTGATAGTTCTACCTCCGTCTCTGAGGTGCTTTATTAGAGGTGTGTCTCATCACACCCCTCTCAGTCTGAAAGCTATGCTTGTGCCTGAGCACGTATTTCTGTGTGTTGAAAGCAAGTCGTGATTCCTAAATAACAGTTTGGGGCTGGCTCTGGAGTTCAGTGCCCAGCACTGCAGGAAAAAGAGAAAACAGTGAACAACAACAAAAAATACTTGCCCAGAAATTTTGTTCTTGAGTTCAGGGATTTGCAGCTATCCCTGGTATGGAGAGCTGACCTATGAGAAGTAAATAGAGAAGGTGTAGGGATCTGGAGACCGCTGGGCCACTACAGGTTCTCTGGTGGCCATGGGCAGCAGTGGCAAAGTGCCCACTAGCTTACCTGAGGCTTCCAGGTGGGACACACCTCCTAGCTTTCAGGGTCAGCTCTGTGTATTCCGCTTTCTTTGAATGAGCAACTCTGTTGCTCCTGTACTTCATCAGCCATCCTGTGTGATTACTGTGGATTTTGACTGCAGGCGCAGAATCCGCATTTGCTGTGATGAGCTGAATCTTTTAGTTCCGTTCTGCAATGCGGAGACAGATAAAGCAACAACCCTTCAGTGGACCACAGCGTTCCTGAAGTACATTCAGGAAAGACATGGGGATTCTCTTAAAAAGGTAAGTATTCATGAAGTAGACTTCAGTGTTCCTAAATTGTGCTCAGTGAAGATGGGCATCTTCTTGATGTAGTGACTGAAAAGGGGGCAGAAACTTGAGAATTTTCTGTTGCAGTTGTCAGTGTTGCCTCTGATCCCTTCTTTTTAGACTGCTCTGGGTATCCTGGACTCTGAGGTCAGATATGAAGTCCAGTATGAAGGGAGTTCTGCCTGTTGATGTCACTTACTAAAGTAATAGTCACAGCCCAGATTTGTTTATGAAATATGGATGATTGTCCAGTATCAATTGTCAGATACCAATTGAGTACTTGTTATGTTGGGTCTGAATGGCATTCAGGACATGATATTTTCCTCTCATTAGCTCAGTGTTGGGTACAAGCTTAGTGTTTGTTAAGACCTGGGGAGGGGAGAAAAATGAAAGCTTTGAAAGAAATTAAAGTAATAGCAACAATTGAGGTGGGACTACAAGAAGTAGATAAATGCCAAATCAATAGTCTGGACTTCCGCCTTCAGGTGGGTTGAAAGGCAAATTATTAGATTTCAGTGTGTTGTAAACAGTGCAGGCTGAGCCTTTGATGCTCACACACTTCCTGTTCCTTGGGGACTGCTGGCCCTTTGTTCCTTCCTTTCTACACGTGGGCTGTAGTAGCTGGCCAGTCCTCTTGGTTCTGCAAGGACTGACGCTTGGTTTGGGAGTTGTCTTAGTCCTGGAATGGACTGGTGGAAGAAAGGGAGCAATTGTGGTGGGTTCTGTGCTGGGCTTGGGAGACTCCTGTGCTAGATTTTGACCTCAGAATTCTGGTGGTCACACCTATGTATGGCCTTTGTCCTTGAGGGATAGTGATGTCCTAGTGTATTAGGGTTCTCTCTAGGAACAGAACTGAAAGAATGAAAGGGAGATTTATTAGAATGACTTACAGGCTGTCTTAGGGTTTTTATGTCTGTGAAGAGACACCATGACCACACAACTCTTATAAGGAAAACATTTAATTGAGGTCACTCACTTACAGTTTCAGAGGTTCAGTTCATTATCATCATGGCAGGGGGCATGACGGCATGCAGGTAGACATGGTGCTAGAGGAATAGCGGAGAGTCCGTATCTTGCAGGCAGCAGGAAAATCAACAGACTGTCATACTGAGGGAAGCTTGAGTAAGAGACCTCAAAGCCCATTCCCACAGTGTCACACTGCCTCCAACAAGGCCACACCTCCTAAAAGTGCTACTCCCTTTGGGGGCCATTTTCTTTCAAACCACCATACAGGCTGTGGTCCAGCTAATCCAACAATAGCTGTCTACCAATGGAAGACAGAATCTTCCAAGAATCTTCAGTATATGCTGGACTTCTGAAGAAATAGACTCTAATGTCAGAGAGGAAATGGAATTGCCAGCAACAGCAAGCAGGCAAAGAGAGCACACTTTCTTCTTTTTTGTTCTTGTTGTAGAGTGCCAGCAGGCAGTGTGACCCACATTAAAGGTGGATCTTCCCAAAGATTCAGATTCAAAGTGGGTTTAGTTAAAAAAAAAAATTCCTCACAGGTGTACCCATCTGCTTGGGTTTTAGTTGATTCCAGATATAGTCAGGTTGACAACCAAGAACAGCTATCACAGATCCTCCTCTTGTCAGCTTGTCACACAGCCATATCTCGTTGTGTCATGCTTAATTTCCAAATGAAAACAACCAAGTCATAATTAGACCTAACGTGATATAACTGTTCCCAAATATAATTGCAAGTGCATCATATATTTAACCAGGTCATAATTATGCCTAGCCTGATACAATTTATCCTCATATAACCACAAATGCATTATAAATTTAGAATAGGTGGCAATGTTCCTTGAGGGACATCTTTTAATATCTCAAATATGATAGCAACTGATATTCTCTTGGTTTTTCGAGACAGGGTTTCTCTGTGTAGCTTTGAAGCCTGTCCTGGAACTCCCTATGTAGACTAGGTTGGTTTTGAACTCATAGAGATCCACCTGCCTCTGCTTTCCAAGTGCTGGGATTAAAGGCATGTGCCACCACCACCCAACACCTTTTTTTTTCAATTGTGTGAGCTTCCCCATTAGACCTAGACTCTTCACTCAGAGGGCCCATATCAACTCAGCCTGATCCAGTTTCACGTTCCTTCCACCATTATACCACACCCTAAGAATCCATTTCCCCATATCCCCAGATATCCCCAGACTTCTGCTTGAATGAACTAGGAAACTCACTAGTAGGAAGCTCTTTAGTCATCTAGTGTACCTTCTCATGGACTACACTCTCTACCTCCCCACTAAGGGCCTTTAGCCTTCAGTCTGGTTATAGGTCTAGAGGCACCCATTGGTGGGCCCTGGAGGACATCATTATCTTGCCTGGCATTTCCTTCAGAAAAAGTTACTGCTGGTTTAACAGACGATGAAGGATTAATTTCCTTAGTCAAAGGTGGAAAAGGCAGTATGTCTCGGGGTGGGGGTGTATGTTCATCTTCTGCAGAGGGTGGAGAAACTACTTCCTCAAATGAGATAAACCCTTTGAGAACCTGAAGGCTCAGAGTTCTCCCCCACCAATCCCATTCCAGGTTACAGGATTCTATTCTTTACCACTTAATGCCCTCTAAACACCGACGCTGTCTGAGGCTGGGATTTGATTTTCTCTGAAATTCAGCCACATCTTAAGTTCTGTGACTGCTAGAGAAGATTCCCTTCTGGGCTCCTTAGAAACCTGTAGGCATATGCACGTCTGGAGCAGGTCAGTTCTCTCGCTGAGTTCCTTGTCTCTCACCGTATTCTGAGATGCTAGCAGTTGGCTAATTTTGTTGCAGAGCTCATTCTTTTTCTTCGTCAGTTTATCCAGAGATGCTAGGAACAACTAACCACCATCATCATTTTCCTTATTTTCCACAAATCTTTTACCTCTCCCAGTTGGTGAATCAGGGTAATCAAATACATTTGTCTCCTTAAGTTTGCAAAATAAGTCACACGATGGGCTTTCAGTACTCTCCAAATTTCCAGAAGAGGCTTAAGTATCTGGAGAGACTTCAGTAACCGTAGGTGTTGACAAATTGGAAAACATATTCCAGATTTCCAGATACTTAAACATTCATCCTTATACTTCTGTTGCTCTAGAACCACTCTTGACATCAAAATCTGTAATAGGGTTTTCTAGAGGCACAGAACTGATAGAATTCTAAAGCTATAAAGGGGATGTATTAGAATGGCCTACCGTCTGTGGTCCAGCTAGTCCAACAATAGCTGTCTACCAGCATAAGGTCCAAGAATCCAGTGGTCGTTCAGTCCATGAGGTCTCAGCTGGTCTCCAGTACACACTGAAGTCCCCAACAAGTAGGCTGTAATGCCCATGAAGAATGGACTTGTCAGCAAGGGTAAGAGCCAGCAGGCGAAGAGATGAAGCTTCCTTCTTCAGTGTCCTTTGTATAGGCTGCCAGCAGAGGTATGGTCTAGGTTAAAGGTGTACCTTCTCCCCACAAAAGATCCAGATTAAAAGTGGGTCTTCCCATATTGAATGATTTAAGGGAAAAACCTTCACAAGTGTACCCAGCTGCTTCGATTTAGTTAATTACAAGTGAGGTCAAGTTGACAATCAAGAATAACCACAGGATCTGGAGAGACGGCTCAGCGGTTAAGAGCACTGGCTGCTCAATTCTGAGTTCAGTTCTCAGCAACCAGATATCTGTAATGAGACCTGGTGCCCTCTTCTGGCCTGCAGGCAGAACACTGTATACATAATAAATAAATAAATCTTAAAAAAAAAAAAGCCGTCACACCTGGGTACTGATTTTGGACCCATGTTCTGTGGAGCCCAGCAGGAGTGTCCTGGGCAATGGGTTCAGGTGGTACAGCAAACCTGGAACCTTGGCAAGGGCCTTGTGAGAGCCTGCTCAGGACCCAGTCACATATGGACTGGACTTGGTGAGTGTCTGCCCAGGACCCAGTCACACTGGACTGGACCTTGCCATGCTTATCCTTGTCCCTTTCTAGCACCTGTGTCCGAGTGGCGTAATGCAGCATTGTGAACTGTTTCTAAGTACACCTGGAGTGACTTAGAGCGCTGCTGTTTGCTCTAATCGGATCATTATGGTTATTGGTAACATTGTTTGCTAGAATAGACCACTGGTCTGTCTTAAAATAAAGCTTTACTATTTGTTAAAAAGATTTAGTCTTTGCCTCTGTGTACCTATTCATGGTGAATTAGCGATATAGTCCAGTTCAAAAAAAGTATTTAAAATTTTTGAAATAAAATTTTAGAATATACTAAAAAGATGAGGCTTTTAAAACTAAATTTTTTCTTTTCTTTTTGAGGTTATAATATCCCCCTTTTGAGGTTATCATTTCCCCCTTACCTTTCCTTCTAAACCCTCCTATATACCCCTCTTTGCTCTCTTTCAAATTCATGGCCTCTTTTATTTGTTAATTGTTACATGTGTGTGTGTATAATATATACATTTCTAAGTATATAACTTGCTTAATCTTTATAATGTTATTTATATATACGTTTTCAGGGCTGGCCATTTGGTATTGGATAACCAATTGATGTCCTTTTCCCTGGGGAGACTATTACATTTCTAAGCTATTTTTAAAATTCTGTCTCACTGAATTTATAAATGATTTCTGGGCCAGGTTATTGGGCTATCATTGGCCTAAACATACTCAGGTTTGATTATTTCGATAGTAACTTTCCCCCTCTTATTTGCATGTATATTCTTGTTCTTTAGGATTCAATAATGAGATTTTAAATGTGCCCCCCCCCAATTTTGTTAGTACCCATTTCATTCAGATCTGTCCTAACGTAACAGGCTTCCCAGGGAGAAAGGGAACAGCAGATAAGGAGTGGCAGTCAGATTCTGCATAGGATAGAAGCCCCTCGAGGGCCAGTGGACTGCAGAGGAGCTTTGGATTTGAGTCAGAATGTAGAGGCTGGGAGCTGCAGTTCCACAGATTGTCAAGTGGAGGTGCCACACACATATCATGACTGAGGCGAGCAGTATCCGCAGCCTC